GAATTAGATTGTGAAATGAATGAACGTGTGTAGTTTGCATGCAACAGATGACTTGGTTCTTAGTTGAAGAAGGGTGGAAGAAATATCCTGTTTTTTAAGCACAGGGAATACTTTAAATTAGCAGCTATTTGAGAAGGTACTCCATCTATTTGGAATATTCACATTTGCCGTCAATGAGCGGGCATTCAGCATTTGTGATGCCTGCACTGCCTGTCTGGTGCACTGAAACTTGCTGGCAGATATCCCAGAACCTTTCAAGGCAGAGTACATGGACGTTTGCAGTAATTTATTGGCCACTGTTTGCAAACCCCTGAGAAATTACATTCCTGAGTTAAAATTTTAACTGCTTGCTAGACCACTGTAAGTAGTGACAATTAAAAACTACGGTTAAGGACATGGCAAAACTTGTCTGATCTTGGGAAACTGTTTGGCAATGGACAGCTGAAACATTCCATGAAGACCTGTGGTCTCATCTTGCTACTTCCCCTTCTAGAGAAGAGTGAGGCTATGCCAGCAAGTGTTCATTTATTTACCTTGTAAAGCTGTCACTGCAGACAGATGCTATTGCAAGAACGTCCCACCTGATGAATTTCTTCTGATAGCCAAAGGCTTCTTGCATAGTATTTCCAAAAAAGAAAATGAGCTCAGAGGCGTGTGTAGCCTTGTTAATTATCAGAATGCATCTATCTACATGTGTTCCTGCTTCCTAGGTTTATTTGTGAAAAAAAAATAAAAAAATTCCTTTTTAAAGATGACCCCTTTCTCTAGATACCTTCCCCAAGACATTTGGATCTACTTCTATGATGAGAAACAGTGAACTTTTTCTTTCTCCTTTCTTTCTTCATTTGTACACAAGCCATTTCACAGGCAAAGGCTTTTTTTTAAATTATAAAGTCTTTTTCAATGGGATGTAAAACTTCATAGTGAACAACAAAACATAAATGCAAACAAGCATGCGGCAAAAGTTAAATAATGTTTAATTGATGGTTGGAACTGTTTACAACAGTATCTCTGAGAAGCTCTTCTAGTATTATCAACCAGATACACTGATGCTTTCAAAAATTTAAACTGTGGGATGAAGAGGTTTCCTTCAAACACATCTGAATGCTCCTTACGACTCTCTAAAAGAATCGAAACCTATTTGTCTAGAAGTTCAACATAGTTATAGACTATGGCTGTTTTCTTTTTTGTATCTACCTGTGTTCTTGCTAAGAACAGTATTAAATAACCCAATAGTCAGTGATCTCCTTTTAGAGCTGCTTTATATTTGTAATAGCTAAATTACTATGACACTGAGGTCAGCTACAACATATTACAGCAATGCAAAAGGAAATATTTTAAAGGATATACTTTATTTGGTATGACCTGCTTTTTCCCTAACGGTCTAGGATGAGCTTAAGGCTGAATATTGATACTTTCAGAGTTTCTAAAATGCAGCAATGGCTAGCAAACCTTTCTGAGTATATTTACAACTGCTGCAAAGGTTATTTGAAACCTCTACTTGTCATATTTTCACGTAGAGGTGTGCACTGTGATTTATAGCTTATACAAGGCCTCTCATTTAAGGATTTTGAAAATGTGAATGTGTATCTTGCCCTTTCTTCTCTCTCCTTTTCTGACAGTCTGGGTTTCACTGTGACTCTATAGTTAACTTTTACTGGAGTGCTTAACAGCAAACCTCACTGAACATATGTAGAATTAATTTTCAAACTTCATGTGGTTATTAGCGAGACACATCTGATACCAATATCTCACTTCAATAGTGTAAATAGAAAAAATGCATTTAACTCAATAGCGTTGCATCAGTGTTATAGAGGTGTGAGATCAGAATTTGTAGATGGAATGGAGTTATCATACATATACATTTAATCAACACACTCGTCACCTTTAAGGTTCTTGCAGAAGGTATCCAGGGAGGGATCAGTCTGTACATCTGTATATCGATGTGTATAAATACATCATGGGAGGGAGTAAAGAAGATGAAGCCAGAGTCTGCTTTGAAAGGACAAGAAGTACTGGACTCAAATTGTAACACAGGAAAACCTATTTAAATGTTAAAAAGAACAACAGTTCTTTGGTTTATTCTGAGGGTGGTCAGACACAGGTTGTTGAGAGAGGTTGTGTAGTCTCCATCTTTGGAGATATTCAAAACTTGACTGGACATGGTCCCGAGCAACCTGCTATTGGTAACCCTGCCTTGAGCAGGGGGTTTGGACTAGACAAACTCCTGAAGTACCTTCCCACTTCATCATTCTGTGATTCTGTGAGTTTCAGCTATGCTGAAATGCTGTACTTCTTATTTCCTTGACCCTGACCCTTATCTTTGTAGATTATTGATTGCCAAATTAAGAAAACAGATCATTTCAATATCAATTATCCCTATTATCAAAAGTGGTATTCAGCAACATTGCCTCTTAAGCTCAATTTTGTGGCACAATTTGGTATGGGCAGAGAGTTGGATAGGAGTGTAATCATTAGTGATTCATTTATACCATTTATATGACATGTTCTGAAAATGCTGTGAAAGATAGGCAGAGATTACATCAAATTGTTCTTACCTACCTCAGGGCTGTTCTAACTAAGGATAAAAAATAAAACCCAGGCTGAAAGTAGAAACAGATAGATATCTGAAGTAAATGATGATATAACCTGTTGCTCTTTTAGCTGCAAGGTTATCCCAGTGCCTATAAACATTCCTCAGAGATCCACGGTGTCTGTGTTTAAAAGCCATCAAGTGTTTCTAATTTAAAGACTTCTTAAAGCTATTCCCTACTCCTGACATCATCAAAGAACAAGCCTTTAATCTTGTCAGAACTTTATGACTAAATAAAAATTCTTAACTGAAATTTTTAAAGGATTTGATTGTGGTGAGGTAGTTTCATCCAGAGGGCTGCTAACAGTCAGGGAATTTGGCCTTTAGTTTGAAGACAAAAGACAAATGGCTATAAAACTTTTTTTCTTAGTCCTGTAACACAAACAACAACAACAAAATCCTATTAAAATAAATCAAGTGTTAAAATAATAACTGGAAAATTCTTTATGTTTTTTACAGTGTTTTGTTATGCAAGAAGCTGAATTCCAACTATACTAAATGGAAAAACCTTTATGCATCTGAATTTTCTGAGTACCACCAGATGAGATTGATACTTCTAGCCTACATGATCAGCATCAATAAAGCAGCAAATGCTCTTTTATATATAAGTGGTCACTTAAATGTATGGGGTACTAGGCCAAATATGATCTGAGAATTAAATGAAATCTGGAGAGCAGAACCAGTACAGGATCCAAATTTATAATCAGCTTCTATTAAAATCAAAACAGACCCTTTATTTCTTTTGTACACATGTCTATCAGTGCCAAATCCAGCCTGGGAATAAGGGACACACAGACCATTTTTCAGATTCCTAAACAAGATCAAACTGATCTCAGAAGTGATGCAGTGGCAGATAGGTGACGTTTTTCACAAATCATGGGCTGTTGTGGTTGCCTGAAATTTCTGACATGCCAAAAGGGAACAAAGTAAAGGGGTTCAGTTTTCACTGGATGGATGCTCAGGGTTTTATCGCAGATTCCTTTGAAATGCTGAGTCCAAAACCAGAGAGGGCCAATGTGTCTTAGAAACTGTACGCCAAGTTGGCTGCACTAATACATTGTACATGCCTGAGCATTTTCTCCTCCACCAAGGTCAAGAGCCACGAGACAGCCCACATCCCTACTGTTTATCTCTTACTCTCTGAGACAAGGTGACCACATGCAAACTAACCCCTAGGAATGGCAGCTGGCCTCTGCCAGCTCCTGGTTCATGCCCAACAATGACCTGAGAGAATGACGCTTGGCCTAGGCCAAAACTAAGCAGAGACCAAGCTGACAATTTAGCAATATGGTGACTAGATTTCAAGGCCTGGGAACACTCCTCGACAGTATTTTCCCTAATACAGATGCAGCCTCTATATCCCTTTTAAGAGTAAAGCCTCATCATTTGATAGCCAGTAAGTTACAAACATAGAATTAAAATTGTCTCTCCCTGCTTAGCACATGCTTAATGTTGCAGGAATGGGACTTGAGACGCAAAGGGTAGATTACACAGAAACAGAACAGTGATTTAGGCATTATAATTTTGAAGTTATAAAGAAGAATGCATATGAATACATAACTTGGAAATGGAAGACAATATTAACAAGAGAATTCAAATAAAATATTTCACTCTGGATCTTCCGTGAAAACTACAGCAAATGTCATTTTGAAGAACCCTAACAGACCTCCTAGATCTGTACTTGCACATAAAGGGCAATTTCAGTGCATGGTTACCCCAGAGCACGACTATCTTTTCTAAATATTGTTCCTTTATCATTATGGGTTTCTACTGCTAGCTTAACATCCCTTTGCTTTACCATTTGGTGGATGATTTGAACTAACAGAAGGAAACAAGAAACATAACCCAGAAATGTGTGCTTTGCTCAATTATAGACAAAGATGTTAAACCATAATAATGTTCCCCGCCAATATAATGAAAAACAGTGAGATGTTCACATCCTAAAAAAACAGCTGCACATACAGGTGTTTGCACCAGATGCTTCCCTAAGCATAATGTGATAAAAGTGATTATTCCTCACTCAACAGAGAACAATCCCTAAGCAGGGTATTTAAAGGAGGATGATAGTGCAAGTAATTAGGAGCCCCATGCCTTACGCACAAAGCAATGTTTAAGACAGTGAAGCTGAGAACCATCTGTCCTTTAAACATGGGCCTATGTTTTTATTTGTGATTTCATCATAATGAGGGGCAGTTTTCAGTCTGATTTTTCAGATGAGATCCTACTCAGTCAGAAATTATTACGGATTAAATTACTTATCCCTGGTTTTAATAGCTGGTACCTTGCCCTGTGCATCTGACCAGAACATGGGCACCAGAATCTAATACCTGACTGATGGACATTTCTATGAGGAGTGAAGGAATACCCTGGTCTTGCCCCGAAGTATGTATACAGTGTCTTTTCCTACCTTTGGACTTCCTGTCATGGTAGCTCCTGCCTCGATAATGGTGGCCGTTGTCCGTGTACAAATTCTCGAGATCTTCTTGCCAGGAGTCCGGGTTAAAGTGTTTGAGCAGATCCTCTACTGTGTCAAACGCAGCAATAGTCTGATCCAGTGCTTCTGCGGTGAGCGTAGGGTCAGTCACTGATGGAGAGGGATAGGATACCCCCTAAGAGTGACATACATCTCAGTGTACTTTGAATAAATTACAGCACCAGTTAAAACAATTGAAAACAGTTACTAAGAAACTTGTCTCATTATTATTGACTGAAACAGCTACTTTGGGTCATCTTTTGAAGTCCTTAGCTGGGCCAGGCTTTGTTACGTCTGTGCTTTCTTTTTGCAAGGAGAAGATACACCAAGGAACTCTCAAGCAGCTCCCGGAGGAGATGCAGGGAGTGGAAGCATTGCCACCACTGGACCGTCAACATGCACAGCCACTCCTCAAAGGGGACAATGGTTTGCACCTATACAAAGATGTAATGGAAATATCTTTTGAAACCACTGTGATGGCCATGACCACAGAATGGAGGTGCTTCGTAGTGCTGGGGTGGTGCCTGCACAGCTCCACCAGGTCTGTTGTTAAATCCACAATAGGCAGATCAGAAACAACAGCAGAGAAAGACAAAGGCAACAAGTGCACTAGACTGTCCTTTTTTCCCTGGTCAGTTTGGAAAACAAATTTGGCTTGGTTAAAGATTTGAAAAGATGGCCCTTTATTCCCAAGAATTAAATGTATTATGAAACACCAATGAATGCCAACTCTCCAAACCTTTTACCAAAAATACAAGTTACTAAGCAAACGAGAAAAAACAAGGTATTCATATTGCAGCAATATAACAATGAACATTGGGATTACCAACATAGTGATATCCTCGCAATTATATCATAATGCCAAATGGAATATTATTTGCCACCAGGAAGGGCCAAGTACCATTCTCTGAGCGTATTTGGTTCCCAACGAACTTGCGGCACGACTTGACTTTGACAGAAAGATTCCAACAATTTCATTTTTACTGGAGAGGATTTTCAACATTTTTAATAATTGTTATTGAGAATCACAATATTCACTACCCTGATATCACTTTTTCCCTTGTCCAAGCACAAAGTCTAATAGTATGTGTAAAATATGTGCAAGAAAAACTATTAATGCAGATACTACTTTCTGAAGGACCACAATCAAAATACCTCATTTTATCCAACAAGAAGCATAATACACCACAAGAGTTGTTTGGATTTTGGTCTTATAAGCTAAAACATTGGGGGAAAAACCCTAGAAACCCTCTTCTCTCACGAAAACCCAGCTCTGAAGTAACGTAGCAGAAATATGCCATTTAGAATTAATGACTCCCCAAAATAATTTTTTTGCCTCATCTCCCAAGTAAATGCATATGTTAAACTATTAATTTTTCTGATTAACTTCACTCAGTTGGGTAGTAATGGAAAGGTCAACTCATTTGAGTACAGTTACGCACTTGTTTGCAGGATTGTGTCCTTCAATGCTTACTAAAATAATTTTAAAGTATATTTGTCTTTTAAAATAAAAAAAATTGTCTTTAACGGTTAAGTTATATCACAAAAGTAACAATCCTTGATATTTTACTGCATATGTTTGCTGAAATTACGGACAGTCCAAATTATTAAAAACAAGAAAGAGAAGACAAAGAAGACATTAGAATAGCATGGTCAAGAAAGCATAGCTGCGCTTCACTGCTTATCACCCGCAGCACAAGAAGTTTCACAGGTCCCACTTGTGACTGCAATGCCTCTACAATGCAGTGCTGAATAAGACACAGTGTAGATGGCTGTAAAAATTCATGATGCACTAAAAGGGAAGGTATACCTCAAAGCATCTCTCCTGACTTCTAAGTGGCTTGGAATAGAGACCATCAGAGAGACGAGAGCCCCAGGAGTTGAAAAACTCATGCCAGCAAAGTGAACACAGGGTTGTTATCTAAAACAATGCTGCAGGAGAGACTGTGTTGGGGGTGGGCATCACAGTCTTTGAGGTTACAAAAGAAAAATGTACCCAAATGCTACTTGCTTAGTGAGGAGAGCTCAGTGGAGCTCAAGGCTCATCTGTGACTGCAGCCCAACAGGGAAACGTCAGTCCCTGACTACCTTTCAAAAGTGATGGAGATGGTGCAAGGATGCTGAAGAAACAGCAGCATAAAAATCAGACCGTAGGTGTGTGGCTTAGATGATGCAAGTTTTTTTTTCACATGTTCAACTGTGCATTTCATTACAGAACTGCAGGTCAGGCTGTGAATTTGCAGGGCATTTCATACAGGCAGCACGGATTCCCCATTTTCTTTTAATATAAAAGCTCCTACGCAGGAGATTTGTGCAACCTCATTCACACACAGAAGAAAGCTTAACTTTTTCTCAGTGACAGCCAAGTCAAGAGGAATTATTTCAACAGCTCAGATAACCTACTGGCAGCGACATCATGTGACAGGCCCAAAAGCAACTTCAAAGCTGCCAACCCAACTGCCTCTCTTTTGTCCTGCCAAGAACGAGGTGTTAGCTTTAGAAGAGCTTGTGCTCATCATAATCTGGCTTCTGAGATCGCATCCAAAGGGAGGGCAAGAGGAAGAGTGAAATGCAAGAAGCAATGAAGAACAAAGATCTTCCACATTATGTAGCTCTTCTACATTTTGTAAAAGCACTGAATGCATATTTAATTTCATGGGACACAAAGGTATCTTTTTTTGTCAGTGCTCTTACCCTTAATTTCTGTTTCCCTATTCTTTTCTATTTTCTATCTGTATTATGAAGCTGACAGGCAGTTTAATGTGCTGATGCACAGTTGTTTGTTGGTCATAACACTACTTCACAAATAATGGAAACTGATTTAATAACGAGTGAATTTTGTTTCCTTTTTTACTGGGTTTGCCATGCTGAGTTAAGGGCAAAAGTATTGGTTTTAGCTTTCTGAGAAACAAAAAAAAACCAAACAAAATATGACTGTAGTACAATCTTAGACAAGGAAGAAAGAACTAAAATTTTCAGTCTGAGAGCTGTAATGTACCCAGATCCTAAAATGAGTCTTTGAGTTGCCTGTGGGTTTGAGGAGCAAAACTTAAGATGTGCCATGCTGACTGAGTATCAGCAGAAGAGTATGTCATCTTGTTGGCTACTGAGAGGTCTGAGTTTGTCTTTCTGCCCCTCAGAACCATAGTAGAATTCCTGAACCTGTCTCTCCTGAAGAATTTGGATGTCCTCAAACTTTTCCCTCAGTTCCTTCGGGACAAATTACTCAACCTCTCTACCTTATTTTCCCTGAGGATAAGAAAGGGCTGGGTGCAATGCATGCCCAGTTGAAGAAGGTATGTTATATTAAATAGGGGATGGCATGGGAAAACCAATGAACCCAGGGTTTTGCTTCTGGTTTATCTGTAGAGTTCCATGTGACCTTGGGCATCAGCTTGCTACCTACAGTATCTGTACCAAACTTCCCTATCTGTTACACTTTAACAACAACTTTTCAGAAACAAACATATGTGAAAGATAAATGAACTTTTTTTTTTCAAGATGAAAAGAATACTGGATTATTGTTTGGCATATTGTGCACCTTATGATGTCGAGGATAACTAACATGGCATTTACCATACACTTGATCTCATTTTCATGGTTACCTGATGAGGGAGCCCTAGGCTTACATTTTCAAACATCAGCCTACCATATTTTTAAACAAAATATTCTAACACACAGATTTTTTTTCCAACCCCATATTAGAATGAAAAATGAGTTTATGTCTTTCAGTAAAACAGTATTTTAGCATCTCCCGCTTGGCACATCCAGTAGATCCCAGCCCTGCTAACATTACCACTCAGGACTTTCAGCACAATTAGTTCAAGGCTATCAACGCATTGTATCATGAAGGGCAAATGTCATTTGCAAACTCAAGGGTAAACATGAGTGCAATTGGCTTAATCTCTTCTAATTTTGGCAATACAGAATTTTCTCTCTACTCACTGCCTGGCTTGGACACTAATCATTAGAATTTACCCATATTTTATTTACTGCTCCTCCACTGGCAACTCCTGGCAGCTACTGTAACAAAGGTGCCGTCACTAAATCCTCTTCCATGACTGCTCCAAACATTGGTCTTAAGTCTGCTTTGAGCACTTATCCTCACCTCACGTGTTTTAAGAGTTTACAAGAGCTGCGACATAGTGCTGAGCAGCCAGCAAAGCCCACAGAAGAGGTCTGCTCATATTATGAATTCTGATGCTACATTGCCATTCCCCAGCATTTAACTTGGGAAAAGAAAGAGCAGACAGATTTTTGGCCAATGACACAAAGCAAATGTAATTAAGAGAAAAATAAAATTTTACACTGGAATACTTGTTTTCTGTCTTTATTTTTTTTCCCCAAGTCACATTTCACTGCCGAATATGGAGACTTCAGATATAATTTTTTATTACAAAAAAAATCTCAGTATTGACAATGAAAAGCTAGACTCATTTTCCTGCCAGCCTCTTTTAAGTGTAGTCTTCTATTTAAGTCAATACATTTTACAATTGAAAATTGTAAGGAGTTGCTATCTTGTTTTTTCATCTTGGCAGGATGAGTTTGAAAGCAAGAAATATTTTGCAATGGCCATCTCACGTGGTTACAACAGCTGACGGCATATCCTGAGTTTTTTCTCCTTAAAAACACACTGGTTGACTCCAGTATGAGTTGGATAAACACTTGTTTCATCCTCTGCCAAAGGTGAATACATGGTTCCTGTGTGCAGGTGCCATTTTAGTGAGTTGGATTCAAGCCATCCTATCAATCCATCCATGGGCAAAATAGTAACAAATTACTTACTGAGACAGAGCTTGTGACTGACTCCCAGTTGGTTTCTGAGGCTGCATGCTGGAAATCATCCTAAGGGGAAAAACCCACAGGAAAAATCACCATTAAGGCAATGTCCTAAATTAACTGCAGAATCTAAAAAATGTCTCAGCATTAAACTTCCGTCACCTCTTTCAACTCTCTTTAATGCAAGATGCCCTTGCCATGTGTTATTCCTAAATAATGCTACTTCCATTCAGTTTTCTCCCTTTTCATTGTTTATAAACTACGTCCTTGTGAGCTTGCTGGGGCAAGAATAGGTGGTATTATTATCATTACTATTATTTGTAATATGATATACGCTGCTTTGCATGGCAGGACCTGATCTGGTCAAGGCCATTACATTTATCTTCCAACATAAATATTAAACACCACTTCTGTATGTCTACAACCAGAGTACTAATGCTGTTCCCCAAACTGATCTGTTCTGGAAAGAATGTGGACATGCTAATACCCTGGTACTACTTAGCCAAGGTGAGAAGCCGGCTAATCTAATCTATTTGAAATGTAGTCCTAACATGACTGTACTGCTTTTGGTGCTGGTGCTGAACAGGACTTGCTCGTCTGTGCAGAGCACTGAATGGCACTATGTCCTTTACATCAAAAAACACAGCCACAGTACATTCACATTAGAAGTGTCATCACACAAAATCTCTGGGCTTTTATGATTAATTTGACCCCAAGGCTGGGATTCATCTCATCTACCTTTGGACATCTACAAAGCAAACATCTAAGCTGGTCACTCTTGTTTCTATTTGCAGTCAACTAAAACTAGCATTTTTAGGGTGCAAATCTTCTGATCTATTTTAGAAGCTTAATTTGGGATGACATGCATCCTAAAAATGCTTTTTTCTCTCCATTGTCTACAAAGGGAGCCTGGGAAGACTAGCTTAGATACAGATGCCAAAATTATAGATAGTGACATGTGGTCATCTGAATCCCAATCCACTTGTCTGACCAGTGATGGGTAATCATTACTTAAATAATGAAGAAGTCATTTCTGTAATCTTCTGGCAGTTTTACTCATTTCCAACTGGAATAATTAAACCATGAAAAATGGAAAAAAGGCAGCATTACAGAATGGTTATTAAACACACACATGCAGTGAATAGCTAACGATCGGCATGAATAGGCAGGTAAGGAAAGTGGACTGAAGTGACAGCATACCAAGATTTTAATTTCTAATAACAGAATTTATAATGAAAGTATATAAGAAGATGGATCAATGCCTGGGCTCACCATTTTACACTGACTCAGTATATGTTATGCATTTTTTAAGTTGGTAATTGAAAGACAAAATGGAACTGTAGCTGCTTAGCTGATGCTCTCTAGACTCAATGCTGCATTGGACCATACATAAATGCATATATTCAACTATTTCTTAGGAATGGAAAAGAGAAAATTGATCACATAATCTGCTAACTAATCAATAAAATTCTCCTTTAACCAAAAAAGAACAGAGCTGCTTTCAGATCCAGACTCAATACACATGGTATTTTAATGTTTTTCATTCGCTATAGAAAAATACTTAAATGTCTCAAAAGTCACAGGATTATTTATTCAATATTATTATTGTTTCTTCTTCCTTAAAATGTTCCTTGCTTTCAAATTTGAGGCAGCAAAACTGTAGTGATTTCTTCAGTACTTAAGATTAGTAGAAGTTAAAAAACCCCACCACACTATAGTGCCACTAAGAGAGCACTGAAACTGCAGGCCTATTAAAATGTAAATAATTAAAGTGGTCATTTTCTTTTAGGAATACAGAAGTAAAACATTATTGGTGAAATTTTTATTGCAGATTTTTTTTATAAACAGTAAAGAGATCTGCAAATGCTATGATCAGGACATAATTAATTCAGGAGCAGTGGGCTACCTTGGCTGCATTCTCTACACATTTGGTTGCCCAGTTCTTGACAAGCTGCGATTTAAAGTACATAAAAATGGATTTGAAAAGCTCATGGATTCTCTGGTAATGGTTGCCAGTTGCAAAACTTGGAAATCAATTCCTCTCTGTCATTAGCTTCCATTTAGCACTTCCAGAAAAAAGTGGCATTGAGTTCTGAGGCATTATTTTAAAATAGGAACAATCTGCCTCATTGAACGTCTGGAGAAGGCCGCAGACAAGGAATAATTTTGTGTTTGAAGTGATGGTCCCCTTGTGTTATCTAATTGTAGATATCGAAACTGTTTCTTTAGTCTATGAATCTTTGAGATGGCTGATGCCAGGGAACCCCTCCAAAACCCTGAGATAGACATGTGTACCACCTGCTTCTTGGATCTCAAACCTGATGACTATACATTTTGACTCTGTGATTATATTTCATCTGCATAAACTATTCACAACTATATGGCTTTGTTCCACCATCACTCAAGGCAGCTGCAGTCATTCTTGGCTTCTCGGAGCTTTCAACCTCTACAGTTTGAAGATCATTATTATCTATGGCTTCTGCTTGCAGCTATTTAAAGTAATAATATCAAAGTGGTTCTCATCATTACAAAACCCTCTCCTCCTTTCTCATCATTGTCCCTAGCAGAACCTGAAGGACAAACCTATTTTCAGTGCTATCTGTTCAATTCATACTAGCTTGTTTATGTGAATTTGCGTATGATCACTTGGCTACTGTTTTCTTCATTACTTAAAATGACATTAAAACTTTCAGTTAAAACGTAAAAAAAATTACATCTTTTTCAACTGAATACTGGAAAAAACAGGGTGGTAATAATTTGGCTACATCACCCTGACAACAGTGTTTTATTTTCGTACGTGTCATGGTAACATAACAATATTACAGGAGACTTCACCAAAGCATTGCAGTAACTGTTCCACAAGCAGCAAAAATACAGGCAAAACAACAGGGCTACCAATCACTTTCTGATAGCAGTTACTTTTATTGAAGAAAAACGACTTCCATACACCTCAACTTCCAAAATTACACCTCAGCAAGACAAATCCTGAGTCAGTCCTTAGAGTTAAATATGTATGGACATTGATATATTGTTCTTGGCTCTGTTTCAGACAAAGATAAGCTACTCTTTCCTTCACAGACTGACTTTGTCTATAGCCTGTCTCCCACCACTGATCTCCAATAAGTGACAAGGAATCATGGGGAATACTCTGTTTCACCTAGGGCTTTCACGAGTAGAGATCATGAGGTAAAATCAAGGATATTGAGGCTATCAAGGATATATGAGGCTGCAGAGCCAGACAGCACCGCTTGCTGAGGAAGATGGTTTGCAGGCCAGGGGTCCATGACCTGCAGCAGCACAGGCTCTGCCAGACTCAAGCCATGGGGTTTGGCAGGGTCAGTAGGAACAGGGTGGCATCAGGAAGACACCAGGAATGAGGCTGGAAAGCTCCCCAGTTTGAGAAGCATGTTGTCCATGACTCATTTTGCTGTACCACAAATATGGCAAAACATGTGAGTCCTCCCAGCCATGCCGCATTACTGTCTGGTCCTCAAATTAAAAGCAAGAAGCACTTTCTAACATTTCTGGGATTCCTCATTTTTTACATACTTTAGCCCTGTAGGCCAGTCTTTTGTCATCTTGGTGCTTGACATCTATGAGGCATGATGCCTGGTATAGGCAATAAATGCCACAGGATGGAGATAACACACCGGCAGCTCTCTCCAGTGAAAAGAAGCAACCCTCTATCTCTATAAGCTCCTCTCTAAACTCCTTCTCTTAATCGGTAGGTCTCTGGGGTGATTGGATTAGGTTTGGTAAAAGATTATTTATCTGCCAAAATAACTATAAACTATGGCTAATAAAAACTGAGGTGATGCTCTCTGCTTCAGGGAGTGGGAAAGGTTCACAAAAGAGTTGTGGTTAAGAAGAGCCCAGACAGCATCCTAGACTGATGCTTAGGGTCAACTGGTTTAATAAGGTCCTCTCCCGAAGGAGCAACCTTCTATATGGTGACCTTGTCATGGGAGCGGCAGAGAAGTGAGAGGGGAGAGGTGAAAATGCAGGCATGTTCTTGGGGCAGGTAAACGTGAGAAAGAGGAAGAAAGAAATAAACTAAGGAAAAATTAATACAGAGAAGTTGGAAGTGTTGGGCTCTGTCTGTGGTCCCCTCATCTGTGGTATTTAGAAGCCATAGCTATAAACTATATAAAAGAGAAGAAATTTCTAGAAATTTGCACAAGAACAGGGCTAAGAGATGTACTGAGGCACAACGCAGATTCTGCAAAACCAAATCAGAGGTCAAATGAAGCATGTTCAAAGAGGTACAGAAACAAAAAGAAGGTGGGATCTCTCACTGGAAGGTAAAAATTAGGGACTAGGATAGTGGAAGGTCAGTAAGGAAAACCTAGGGCAAATTACATCTTGAAGAAAAAGAGACAAACTTATGGTAACGTTTAAATTAATAAAAGGAAACTCAGTGATAGCTATTTTTTAACAATAGTCAACATGCATCTGCTGCATTCAGAGCTGTTTGCAGACAGGTAGCTGATAAGCAGATAAACCTGTACTTGTAGTTAGTAATAATAAATTATAACAATCTGGAAATAAGGTCTTTCTTTTTTTCTCTGTCACAAGAAAGAGTACCAATATTTTCTCTGATCATTGAATGGATGGATATCACATTTCATATACAAAGCGACAGGTATTTCAGGCAAATAAACCCCAAGCCCAGAACACACTGTGTAACAACAACAGGGTTAGGTAAGTAAGAGGCAAAAGAAAAGTCATAGTTCCATTCAAAAAAATGCTGTGAGAAATACTCAAGTTTGCACACTTCCACTGATAGACTATAATTTCTCATGTAGCACTGTAGTACACTCCAATTTCTATTCTTAAAGATAAATAAAAGCATAGAGATGAACACTTCGAAATATCTTTTTCATTTACTTTCAATCCACCACATTGATAGGTTTCATTTTCATATCAGAATGATATTTATTACCACTTCTCCTAAGTATGCTGAAAGATACCTATTTTCCTAGAACAGGCTACTCACTAGGAAGTCAGAGGCTGCATTTTTCTCACCTACAGTAATGGCCAAATCACTGCTCTGTTCAGTTCTGGTG